CTACGCAACTAACGTTCTTAAGCTGCATGGATGGGGTGGGCTCCGAGAACGGCATTCACACTATAACTATGGATGGTATATGTGACTACATCAATATGCATGTCACTTAGACCTGCCTGATAGGTTTCTTCATCTAAAGGCTCTCTCTTATATCGTTGCACCTCCCTCTCAGGATCATGTATGTCCGTCCTGACATACATGGGTTAGGAAGATCTATGCACCATATGATAGTGTGGATGACTCCCATGATAACACCCAAGTAGCTACTGCAACAAAAGTATATGGTTATGCTGACGTAAGAGAAGGACATTTGCCTCATGTAGATGGTCCAGTGGTGTCAAGAGGAAGTACCCTGTTGCAGTTCTCAGGTTAGCATTCTGGCAGGGCTGGATGTTCTTCCAGATTTATATTTGCAGACTGAGGCCGCACAGCTGACCACAGACCGAATTATAGCGTTATAAGAGGTGAAAAAGATCTACTTATTGCACCGCACGATCTACCAGCCAGTCCCTTGTGAACCTTGTTCCTACTTCGCATTTGATTTGCATATGTTCTCATATCCTCAACCTTTATGGAAAAGTGTGACCGTTGGTAATTATTTAATTTAAATGTTTAGTGGATGATCGAACAAATTTAAATGTTGTCTATATTCTTGGGATATGAACATGACAGGATTAAGAGTCTTAAAAAACCTGTGGAAAACTGTAACATACTTCGAACACCAACAAGGGATTGCTATAGAAGACTATGAGACCAGTTTGAATGGGTATGCAATTTGAGATATTTACAGACCCCTGAATGCATACAGACCCTGAATGCATAATAAAAACTCTAGAATGCTTGAGTGTAAATCAAATGAGCTTCATGTTTTGTTTACGGTTATAAAATTTCCAATTCATAACCTGCATTTGCCATTTCGTCACCCACATCTTTTTTTATAGAACACATTTTAATACACTATTGCAAATAAAAATTGCAAAATCACTGATAACGCTAATACGACGACCGATCAAAAAAAAAAAAATTTTTAATAACTGTGGGACATTGTAGTATACCGACCCAATGATGTTATCAAAACTCTGATAGACAAATATATGCCTTATCGGAAAGAATATTCCAGAAAAAGTTAGTCACGGTTTGAGAATGACTGTTGTCCAGACATATTTTTGGGAATACCCCAATTTGTAATCAATCTTGGTATTTGTAAGCAGTTGTAAAATCACATATTTTCTATTTTTTATGACAATTAAAGATTGCAAACTTTTATTGCCTATTTTTATCAAATTACAGCTGATTTAAAAATTGGAAATAAACCCTTTTGAAATGTGGGAAGCAAGAAGGTATCGTTGTATGGGTATTATATTAAACATTCAATATTTTTGTGCGAGAAATTAATCTAACCACAAGAACCCAGAGATGACAAAGAAAAGCTGAATTGGTTGGAAAATAGGACCAAGAATATTTTAGAAATTGTGAATGATGTTATCTAAAAATATTCATAGCAATTCCTCAAAGATATTCATGATGTTTGAAAAATTAAATATTTTGCGAAAATTTCGAAAGAATTGAGGACATCAAAATCTATAGATTCAAAACCCGCATGAAAAATCTTGTAAATTTTTTAGAATGAAAAATAGCAATTGTAAAGCTAAGTATGCATCATCATATCACCACTGGACTGGAGAGGTGTCAACAATTTATAAGAATATCCCTGCGATGTAAAAAAGATAAATAAGAAATATCCTCCAGTTCAGCACTGCCAGATAATTAATTGTAAATGACATGAAAATCTAAGGACGTGGCCCAATTAACAAAAAATACTGAGGTGAGGTTACAAGGTCTTGGTATAGCAGTTACTTGGTGCAATAAAATCAATTTTTTAGTAGAGATACGATCTAGATTTTTAGCAATATAAACTAAACCGAAAACCAAAGTACTACCAAGCATTCCCGATACAGTGGTGACCCTCTATTCACGTAGTCTTTTTGAAGATTCAGCCACCGAAGCCAATGCGTACTTTTAGTACAACGCAGTGGAAAAATATTCAGTCCTGCCAGAATGCCGCCCTTAGAACTGCAACAGGGTGCCTTCTCATGACACCTGTCGACCATCTACATGGGGAGCCAAAGTTCTTTACAGTGCGGCAACATAATAAAATGTCAATGCAATAACTGCTGGTGGATAGGCAATTCCGCCCAGGCACGTAAGGAAAGACCTTCATTATCTAGAGAGGTACAGAGGTAAGAGAGAGCCTCTAGATCAACAGGTCTATGAAGTTTGACTGAGTAGTATTCACACCGGAGACCATACCCCTCCCATCGCAGCTGAAGAGCGAAAGCTGTCCTGACAAACCCGAGTAGTTTTGGTTCAATTAAGATCCGGATGTTGCAGCCACTTCAATTCCTATTGGGCCCGGATCGACAGCGATGTGGAGAACATCTGCCCAGCTTGTGACACAGGTTCACATGTCAACTAATTCCAGGTCACCTAACTCCAGTCTGGGTGTGGACCCGTACAGGTTGCAGCCTTTTTGAGACTGAACTTAGAGGCAGAACCCGAAATCGAACACAGCAGTATGAGCTACTACAACAACAACTCAGGTGAGGTTATAAGGTCTGGGTGGAGCAGTAACTTGGTGTAACAAAATCAATATTTTAGTAGTGGTACGCTCTAGATCTTTAGCTATATAAAACAAACCGAAACCCAAAGCACTATCAAGTGGACCCCATGCAGTGGTGACCCCCCTATACAGGCAGTCTTTCTGCAGATTCAGCCGCCAAGGCCAATAATGAATCTAAAGGCCGAGACCAGCCACGAAACTAAGAACGTCGTCTGCTTAAACAAAATTTCTTCAGGATATTGTAGTCATAGCACCAAATTGATAAAAAGACAGCAGAGATTTCCAAACATATTTTTTTAATTTCTGATGGAATTTTTGGTATTTTCTAAATTGCCGTTGAAAACTTAAGAATTTGAAATGATGTCTTTTAGGAATTTTTAATAGAATTTCTAAATTTCCGGTTTTACAGTTAACCATGGGGTAGCTCGAATTTTACAATTGGTAAAGAGCTCACAACAGGTATTTAAAATTGGATAAAAACTTGGCAACTTGCGACAGTTAAAGACCTTTCTAACAAAAAAAACTTTTAGCAAAGGTATCCCTTGATAAGCTTTCTATCCAAAAATGGGTATTTTGGAATATTAAATTCTAGGGATGAAATTCATTAAAACATTAAAATCTAACATAAAAATACCCTCGTACGTAGTAACAAACTTCAAACGCCAATGATCATCATCACTGCGCCCTAAAACTTCGGATGTGATGAATGTATCGATTGTCTGTCTTCATAATTGGCAATATTCACATTGAATGATGAACGAACGTCAGCTTCAATTTAAGGTAAATTGTCTTTGTACAGCATAACAAGTTTTATGCTGTGAACTTTCACTTTCTCCTCTCTAACTACAAATGGAAACATAACAGCAGCAGCGGCAGCAACGGACAGCAACAACAACACCATCCACATGAAAACAAAGAAGAGGAATGCAACACGAAAATCTTCATTTGTTGTAGCACACAATAGCTGGCGTACAAACAACAGACAGACGGACGGACGGACAACATCTATGTATGGCTTGACAAATATTGTGATCACGCCGCAAACGCCGTAGAAGATCAACGAAGGAAAGTGGGGTGAGGGAGTGGAGTCGAGGGGGAGGAGGAGGAACAGTAACAAAATATTAAAAGCGTTCAGAAACATGGCCAACAACGAATACTTGTTTATGAAAACACATCAACAACAGCAGAAGTCAAGCGCTGCCAACAGCAACAACAACATGGACTTCTAATGCAGGCCCACGGCACACACAACGACAGAATACTGCTACGTTAATAAATGTTTTCTTCTTTTGCCAGATTGCATTCATGCTCGTAGCTGTCCTCGTTGGCATTTGTAGTTTTTTTTTTTTTCTGTTTCTCTCCAAACGCTTGGTAGGAATTCAAATTTGCATATCTAAATGGAAATCATGTGTCACATGTGAAATGAGAACATCAAATTGAAACGGATATTTACACAGCGTCGTTATTTTCGTTGGTTCGTTCGTTTGTTTGTTTGACGAAATTTCGGGACTTTTGAAGTGTGGAATAGCAAAGCTTCTACTATGACGCATAGCTCAAAACCGTATTCTGCAATGGCCAAAGAATGTGTTAAAACAAGCGTTACATATTTAGCTGAAGAAATACGCCTAAAAGAAAACGATAAATAAGTAAAACAAACATTGGACCTCTCCCCTTCCTGAAAGAAAATAACAGTGACGTTGAAATGGCCGCTATTTGTTTGCTCAGCGTCGTCGTAGTCACCGCCGTCTTCATCGTCGATAAAAAACAATTATCTTGGAATACACATAACGATGTTTGCTATCACTTTTAAAAAGAAAAGACGTGACAGTCAGGTGGCCGTAGGGTGTGCCAGCCAGTCATAGCTGCTTCTGGTGCTGCTGCCGTCGCTACAGCCCATATCATCATCTAATAGGTAATGCCTCTTGATCTGGGCAAAGCAGCCGAAGAGGGGGAGTGCTAAAGAAATGTACAAAGCACACATTTGGGAGATACCACAGGAAACCTGTTTTTCCTACTATTTGCTTAAATTGTTAGACGGTTAGTTGGACATTATGACTGTCATTCAGCAACATCGTCTTTATGATTATCCCAAATCCAAAAAAACTTTTTTCTTTTGGTTCCATCAACATCTTTCGTTGTCGCAATAGATGTCTCCACATATCCACTAGTCTTCACCCAAAGTTGTACCGATAATCCCCCACATACACACACTCACACATAGTCTCTGGCAATTGCAAACGCACCACTGCTAAATTGTGTATAACAATTCTCGCCTCTAAAATGTTAACAACTTTTGCAAATTCAATATTTCTTATTTTTTGAAATGCTGTGTGCGACACGGTATCAGCAAGTAGTAGCAACAACAACTACATGTACAAACCTTAATTATCAATTCAATCTCTGGTACTTCGCTAGTTCCATTGGTCTCTTGAAGTTCTGCCTCCGACATGATTACTTTTGCTCACGTTTCTTGTTTCAAAAATATATTTATATTTAATTAAGCTGGATTTCTTTGCGGTTTTTGTTATTGTTTTCTGACGACGCAATGCAATAGAATTTTTCAAATTATATTAATATTCGACGACGACACGAACCGACCGACGACACATCCAACCACGAAGAAAAGCACAAAAAACAAGTACGACAATAGGGATACGTAAGTCGATTTTCGATAGAACGATTAATCGGATTTATAAATCGTTTAAACGATTAGACATGTAGAAGAATAAGCAGGGATCTGTTATTCGATTTTTTTTTCTCGCTTCAAAAGACATCGATGTTGCACTTATCGAATCAAAAATCTACTATACTTGTAATTTTTGCAAGTTTTTACTATAAAACTGTTTCTGTCCACGAATATATAGTTTTAGACTTACCTGCCAAGCAAATCATTTAGAGATTTTTCTAGTTTGAAGAAAGTGAAATATTTTGCAACGATAACCGATTTTTCCTTTATGATATCGAAAAAAATGCAAAACTAGATTCTTGCAGGTTCTGAAACAGAGCATTTGCTATTATCAAACAAAAAATAATAAATAAATAAAATTTATTAATTCAAGAGGATCAATGAAAAATGTGATTCATTCATGTGAGATTAAATAAATATTCTACCTTAAATTGACTTACTTTTTGAGGGGAAATATTTGAGAATACATAGAACAAATACATCTTAACGACTTTTATATTTTCTTCACATATTTTACTTACTTATATATTTTCGTACAGACAAATCATTGGTTTGTTTTCCAAAAAATTAGTAAAATTCAAATATTTATAATTTCGGTAATTAATAATTTTTTACTCTCAGAGAGGGTATATATCATACGGCCAAAACGTGCTTCATCGAAATAACGTTTATAGACACTAGGTCTCTTTGGACCAAATCCGTTTCAGGAGTCGATCTAGAGATGTCCGTCCGTCCGCCCATCTGTCTGTCAGTATGGCTGGGATAATTCTCGAAGGGAGTATCCGATTTGATCCAAACTTGGTATATCGTAATATTATTGCCAAATTTAGATCGAGTTCGGAGATGGGTAATATGAGTCCACTCCTTCTGGTACTTCCCCCACAAAATGTCCACATTTTCAAAGAAAATAATATACTGCACAGGAAGAGAAAGGATAATCCTCCAATTTTGCAAATCTTACAGCCTGTTCCACGATGTCGAAAGAACACGTTCGCACAACTTTTACACGACAAACAGCTGATTTCTGTTCCACTAAAATCCATCAGAACGAAAATTTGCACGAAAATCAAAGCGAACGAAAACGTAAGCGTTTCAGTGTAATTTTGCGTTCCACTATCTTTTTTCTTTCGTACGCATGCGAACACAAATGTCAAAATCAGTCACTTGTGTGTTTGGTGTCGAATGATAAAAATTAAGGAAAATTGTTTTAACATAAACATTTCTTGATTGAAAATGGAAAGAAAAATGTAAGTAAAAATAATAAATGCAATTTAATCTGTGAACAACAAATATATATTTTTTTATTTTCTCAATTCCAGCACGAAAAAACTACACAGCTGCGGGCAATAGTTGAGTATATGGGGGAGAATCCTAAGTTCGCCAGAGGAGTGCCAATTTTTGGAAGCAGCAGGCAATCCCATGAAGACCACTGGAAGACACAAACCTAGAAAAAATCATTTTTTTATTATTTTAAAAATGTAAAAATACAATCATACTTACTGGTTGTTAGGTACTTCAAATAAATTCGAAGCATCTCTTAAATGCCTCCGTGGGACAATTTGAACCTCCTCCTCATCATCCATAAAAAATAGGGCTACAGAAATATTCATTTTTTTCTTTTTTAAGAACACAAATAATCTGAACACAATCACTAGAAATTTTGTTTTGTTTGTTTATTTACAATTTGTTTGTTTACAACTGAACTGTCAGTTGAGACAGAGCCACTGCTGCATTTTCGCGTTTATATTAGACATTTGGCGCTTTTTTTTGCCTTATTTCGCGATTAATTTTGCCAAAAAATATTTTGCAACACTGAATCACGTAAGGCTATGCGAAAGAAAGAACGAAAGTTAGTGGAACGCATTCTTATGCGAAAGTGAGTGAGTAGCCTTCGTTCGCACAAATTTTCTTTCGAGATCGTGGAACAGGCTGTTAATATTTAAATCAGTTTTAGGTCAGGTGGGAAAATTGGCAATAACGGGCATCTCCATTAAGTACCTCACCCACAAACGGTCATCATCCGATTCCATTCAGACTCGCCACATCTCAATATTTCAATCAACACAAGTTATGTTATAAAGATGGTAGATATCTTACCATTCCTACTGGTACCTCCCCCACAAAGAGTCAAAGTTTTAAATAACCAAAACGATCATAAAATCCAAAAAAAGCATCCTGTTCTCTTCAAATTACACACATCAAAATATTTCTACTAATCCAAGGTCTGGACCATTTCTTCTGGCACCTCCCCCATATAGGGCTCAAAATTTTTGAAAAAAAAAAAAACAAAATTCTCAACGAAAGCGAAATAAGCATCCAACTCTCTTCAAATTTCACACATCCAAAAATTTTTTCTAACGTAAGATCTGTTGGGAAGATGATATATATCTTTAACTTTCCAGTACTTTACAACTTGATATATCCAAATATTTTTCTTTTTTTCTCTGATATGAATATGTACTTTATTGAAATTTATGATTTCGCATAAAATTGGATATAAATATACGATTTCCGTTAATTTTTGCACATACCAATATTTTTACCCATATTAGTTGTGTTCCAGAACCTGCAAATTAGTACTAATTAGCACTAATTCTGCTACAACGCGTTCCCGTACTCAAAAACTAGCAAAACTTGCATCTCTCTCGAGAAAAAAATGGCGCTGAGTGGTGCACATTTCTGCTTGTTTTAGCTACATGAATTTGGCCGAGCAGAAATGTGCATATTGTAAATTTGACATTTAATTGGCAGGGCTAACAAGGTTGAAAAATGTATTGATACATTTCAATAAAGAAAATGATCAACTTGAAAACTAAAAAAAAAAAAATAATATTTGTCGTGCAGAAAACAAAAAGAGAAAATATGGAGCAACTGATGTATTCACTTTTGGATGATTCCAGCAGTGAAGAGGACTGGCTGAATGAGGAATCAGATTATTAATTATTATTATATATTATTAATTTTAACTTATCGTCTTCAATACTCATTTTTTAAATGTTGGCGCTCTTTTCACTAAGGTTTCACCAGTCCGATTTAGTCTGTTTACTTTTGGAATTTTGAATTTTGACATTTTATCGCATTTCTGCTAATTTTCCGTTCCCTTATTTTTTGAACAAACCTAAATGAGAATGACATTTCGAACTGTTCTCTCTTCTGCTAGTTTTACTACTAAACAAGTACTGGAACACAACTATTGTATGAAGTATGAAAATTGTATGCTTTGGTTCGTAAAAAAAACAAAGGAGCTTAGGGTCAAAATCGAACTAAGTCAACCTTAAACTACTTTGTTCTTTTACAAAAAAACCCAGCCGATGATTTAAGCCAGTCAAAAAGTCTTTTATGTACTCTCATCTTTTCTCTCTTATAAAGAAGCTGTTGGATAATTGCTGCAGGAAAAATAACCAGGCAGACATAATCTAGCAGCTGCCAATGGCCTCCCTTTTTGTATTTTTTGTTCATTTACTACTGCCATCTCTTGATTACAAATTTAACTAAAATTATTTGGCATTGTCATATTAAAGGCATTGCCATCTAAAACTTTTGAAATAAATATTTCAAGTAGTTAATAAATACAGTTACATGTGTGTCTAAGAAGAGGTGCACAAAATGGAAAAGAGATAATTTGAAAGAAAACTTATACTGATCAACTTAAAAGTTGGAAAAATGCTAATATCAACTCCAATATTATGCTCAGTAGACATCACTTTTAAAAAAAAAACTATTTTTTATACAAATTGCACCTTTTTCTTTTTTGATAATAAAGATCAGGGTAACTAACACTGCCTTTACACGGTGGCATTTTTATCAATTCTATTTTAAAATTTCTGCGTAAATCTTTGCGCCTTTACACGGTGGCATTTTATGATATTAGTGCTTGACATTTTATTTTATTCAGTATTTCGTATAGAGCTAATTGTTTGTAACAGATATTTATAAAGAAGTGATTTAAAATTAAATGTGTGAATCTAAAGAAGAAATGATGGAAAAAATTATTGAGCTGTTAAATATTGTATTATTAATTTTATTTTAACTTTCTTTTTTACTTTTTAATACTTCCAATTAATTTTCATATAATTCACTATACAATTCAATCACTAAAAACATAACATCACAATAAAAGAAACGCATCAAAAATTACAATAAAGAAACGATATGAAATGTCAAAATCATAAAAAATTCGGAAGAAGCAAAAAGAGAAATGCAAAGAAAATGGCATGTATCCCTGTCTCTCTACACCTTTTACCAACAAAAAAATGGCATGGTTAAAAAATGTCACCGTGTAAAGGCAGTGTAACAGTTAATATATTTCATATGTGTCTATGGTTCACTTAATTATATCTTCAGTAAAAATAATCCCTAGATTATGAAAATTATTATGAAAATAATGCATTCAGAAAGTAGATACTCTAATTATTAAATATAATGACATCGATTTGACCAGTGGCGTGGCTGCCACTTACTCGCTCACTTTGCGGTCCCACTCTATATAGGTCAAAGTACAATAACAAAAACAAAAGTCATGGCTCAGTGCTACCGATTTTATTTCAAGTCATCACACCCCAATAAAACTATCTTCATTAGCCAATCACAAATGATTGTCAAAGTGGCAAAAATAGCAAAAAATTGTTAACAAAAAAACAAAAGAAAAACAATAACACAACAAAATAAAATAAACAAAGTCGTAAAGATATTTTTAGAATAGTATTTTTAAGCGAGAGAATGGAAACAAATTCGCAAAAAAAGACGACAGCAAACATTGCTGACGTCGCTGTTGCTAAATAGGACAGCAAACAGCATATTTATGGAACTTTAATCGGCATGAACATACATACATGTACATACATATGATTATGCATACATACATACACACATCTATTTCATCGAAGGACAGAGACAATACCGGAAGAATGATGGGCCAAATGCTATGGCGACATAATTGGGTGCTGGGGAAATTGGCATAACATGTAAAAATATACACAGAAGGAAAATAAAGTATTTAAATATATACTATAATATGTCTACATATGTACTGGCATATATATTTTTATAATAAATAATTCATTGAGAGAATAACCAATACAAATATTTTGAAATTGGAATAACATATTTTCATTTACACTGACCAACACAAAAATCACCATAAAATATATTTTTGGGTACATTTTTTTTTGAAATTGATACCTTTAACCGGTTCGTATCGGAAAATAAATGGTGATTTTTTTATGAGCAATACAAAGATTTTTCAAAAAAATAAAAAAAAATCAGAAAAATATTCCAAATCTTTTTTGGAATTGCTATTACGGTTCATATAATTTAATGTTTGAACATTATTTCATACAAAGGTTTATCGCGGCTCCACCTCAAATGGTCCATCCGCTCAGTCCTAATTTGGCATAATCTTCCCAACATTTCGGTCGGCATCCCACAAAAAATGCGTCAATTGAAGCGGCCTTGTCTGTATAGACATGAGCTGTAACAAACATGAGCTAACGCCACAAAAATATATCTACAAGCGTTTAATCACATGATCTAAGCGCCGAATTGACCTGGTCCAAATGTGAAATAAAATGTCCTCCGAACTCACCGCTCAATAAGTCCATTCCTACGAGTGCTGGAGGCCATGATATACCGTCTTACATGTTACGCAAGTTAATCGCCTGCATTTTTGGCAAAAAAAAAAAAAAAAAAGAAAAAACAAGTAAAAAAGCTGTAAGTTCGGCCGGGCCGAACTTTGAATACCCTCCACCATTTGGTACAAATTTGGCAAAATTCTGTTAAAATCTTAAAAATACCGAATGTAGCCGTATATTAGGGTCTATACGACGACGTGGACCTACATAGGCAACTTTTGTCATAAGCTATTACAATATTCAAAAGCGAAGCCGTATATTAGGGTCTATACGACGACGTGGACCTGCATAGACAATTTTTTGTCATAGGCAGTAGTATCCATTACGAACTTCATAAACCGCACCAAACTGTGACTTTTTCATTGGTATCTTTTGCAAGGCTAATCTTCAGTCCTAATTCGTCAATTCTTCATATCTACGTACCCATTGAGCCAAAAATGCGCATTGTAGCTTCGTGGAACTATCGCGCTTTGAAATTTCTTAGCAGAGCCTGAATTTTGATAATAAAATTCAATGTTTTGCAAGTGTTGTTCGTTTGTAAGATGATTTATGGTTAAATTATAGACCCAACTGAAGATGTTTTACAGTGAAATAAAACACGAATTGGAAAAACAATCAGAGAGGAAGCAGAATCTTCGAATTTCGAAAACATTAAAGTTGTGCTCGTTTTGAGTGATTTCTCCCACAACCACTTTGAAATCTCCTACAAATTTAGAAAAATCGCTAATTTTAGAATTCCGAATAAACAAATTATGTGCTAAGTTATACTCGAGTTGTGCTAACTTATGGCGTTAAAATTTTTCTCCATATTCTTCAACGTTTAAAAAAAAATTTAGAAAAAAATTGAATTGTTAATTTTTAGGGGAAAATCTATAAACAAATACGAATATGAATTTTTGGAATTAAAAGTTAGATTTTGTTCCTCCTTTCAAATCGAAAATTGAATGTTTTTGGTACATTATCTCTCTGGAAGGGAGTATCAGATTTGACCAAAATTTTGTACATCATAATATTATTGTCAAACTTAGATCGAGTTCGGAGATGGGCAATATCGACCCACTCCTTCTGGTACCTCCCTCACAAAATCTCAATATTTTTTAAAGAAAATAATTTGCTGCACAGAAAGAGAAACGATTATTCGGCTTCGGTCCAACTTTCCAAATGCAAATATTTGAATCCGTGCTAGATCAGGTACGAAAATGGTCAATATCGGTCCACTCAATCCAGTACTTCACCCACAAAGGGTCAACATTTTGAATAATTATAACTCTTATAAAATGTGATGTGAGTGTCCGATTGTCTTCAAATTACACAAATCACAATATTTTTATTAACCCCAAAGTCTGGTGTGAAGATGGGATATATCGGTCCATTCCTTCTGGTACCTCCCCCACAAAGGGTCAACATTTTGAGTGCCCATGAAGTTCATAAAACGCGAAATTAACATCCGATTCCATTCAGATTTGGCACATCTCAATATTTTTCACAAGATCTGTAATAAAGATGGTAAAAATCAGACCATTTCTTCTGGTACCTCCCCCCCCACATGGGGTTCAAGATTTTGAATAACAAATCGCTCAAAAAAGCGAAATAAGCATCCAACTCTCTTCAAATTTCACACATGTAAACATTTTTGCTAACACAAGATCTGTTTTGAAGGTGATATATAACTCCAAATCCCTTCTGGTTCCTCACCCACAATGGATAACAATTGTCACTACTATTATCAGTCATAACTTGCGAAACTAGTCGGCGATTCTTTACAACTTGCAATATCTAAATATTTATCTTAACCAGAAATCTGATATGTGTATGTAAATTTATGATTTCGCATAAATTGGATATATATTTTTGATTTCCCTCAATTTTTTTCCATATTTTCCAAAAATTTGCAAACAGGAAACATTTATATAGGATGAAGTCGATATAGTCCAAATCTGGCACGTTGGAATATTTATCTCAGTCTTAGGTCAGATACGAATTGGTCAATATTGACCAACTGCTTTGGAGGGTCAAAAGTTTGAATAATCATAATTCTATCCGTTCACATAATTTCAAAAGGGTACCAAATGTACTACATTTTAGTACACTTGAAGTTCGCAGTTTTAAAAGCCCTTAGATTAATTTATCCTTCACAACATCGACGACCCTCATACCGAAATTCCGATTTTCAGTTTTATTTCCTCCCTTAAATACAAAATTTAATACAATTTGTACTTTTTTTAACAATAATTTTCAAAACCACTTACAGATTTCAGCCCTACACCGTTACCTTGATGCCAAATTTCAGATTTCAAACAGTAATCGTTTACTCAATATCAAATTTAGTACCTCTTGGTCCTTTTTCGCACACGAATTCCCAAAATCATCTTTTTATTTCAACCCTATTCAGCAGCAGTGACTCCAATACTAAAATTTCAAATTTTCAGCTCTATCTGCTCACCAAAAGACCAACTTATACCAAATAAGGTACAGTTCATGGTAGAACTAAGAAGGTAATATCATGTAATCATATGTTTACAATTTTTTTTTTTTTCAAATTTTTGCATTTGACAACATCTCATTGTCAAAATCTATATTCATAAATCCATTGTATACACACAAAATCAGAGATGGGAACTATTTTTTTGCATTAAAATTTGACAAGGTAAATTACAGAAAATGCAGAGCTGGATATGCTAATTTGAAATGAAGTTACTTTTATTTTATTGTACCATGCTACAGCTTTTACACTTAGTACACATACCCAAATATTCATTCTTATATAAAATCTACTTCCGCAACCTGGCCAAATGTCTAAATTAAAATTTCCAAGAATTCCAAGCAATTTAGTACATTTTAGTGCTTTTGGTAGACTTTTTGTTCGCTTTTTCAAGTCAAAGACGTCAAAATTTCCGATTTTCAGTTCTAACCATAAGTACTTTTCGTAACTATTTACAAATTCACCTCCAAAACCCTAATTTTGTTTCCAACTCTTTTTCTTCCTCCAATACCAATTTTAGTATCATACTTTTCGTACTTTTTGGTACGTATTTCCAAAACCACCTTCAAATTTCAATCCTACACACTAACATTGGCCCTTATGCCAAATTTCAGATTTCAAGAACTGCTCCTCTTCCCAATATCATATTTAGAACCATTTACCACTTTCGAATACTTCATATATCCTCTCTCTCTTCAGATTTCCAGCACTATCCGTCTTTCCAATATCACATTTAGTACTTTTCGTATACTTGTAGTACAGATTTGTAAAATCACCTACTTTTATCAACCAAACGTAATTCACGATTTTAGCCATTTGTTTAGAAATATTAGTATTTTTGGTAATCTCTCCTACACCCCATCAGCGACCCTCATTCCAAATTTCAGAATTGCAATGGATTCAATTTTTAGTACCTTTTAGTACGTTTGTAGTTCGAATTTCTAAAGACCCAGCCCTACCTCACCCCTACACAAGGTTGACCTACAAACAAAATTTCAAGATTTTAGCTTAAGCTGTTTCACCTGGCCGTTGATGAATCAGTATCTAACCTATCACTCTACTCTATTACAATTATAGAGATTATTATGTCTAGATATCCATAAGGCTTCCCCATAAAATAAACAAACATATGTATATGTCATCTATTTTTCATAATTTTGTTGTAGAAGATTTTATTAGTTCCCAAATTATTATACCACTGAAAAGCTTCAAATTTGATAAAAAATAAAACTTAATATAAATCTGATTGAGTATTATAGAAACATTCATTTCACCCCCTTTCGCCAACAATTTGCCGTTTCAATTACAAATTTTAAGTAATTAAATTTTTGTGGAAATTTTCCAAAATACAAAAAAAGTCTGTCTGGCGGTTTTTTTTTTCTGTATGTCTTTTGCTGTATAATTTGCTGGTGGCCAACAAAAAATAAATGTTCCCACTTTATGTACGTGAGAATATTTGAAAATGAATTATCTCGACGATAGCAAAATATATAAAACGTAATAAAATACAGAAATGAATAATAAATTAAATAAAACGGATTTTTTGTTTTGCTTTAAACCGGTCAATTAAATAACCTAGAAACGTCATTTGCCAACGGAGGCAGGCAAAGCGAAATGCATTTTTAGCACACTCGCACAAATACACACACACACAGAGGAAGAGAGCATGCAGCAGACATAACATAAATTTGCTCTCACACATATACGGCCGCACACACAGAGGAATAAGAACAAGATTTCCACACACACACACATACATATATCGCGATTTTATGCTGCAACAATTGGTTTGTTTACAAAAATTTGTTTTTGCAAAAACAAAGCAGCAATAACAGCAAAAACACTTGTGCAGTCAACTGCGCTGCAGGTGACACAAAGTCACGGAGAGAAAGAGAGACCGAGAGTACATACGACGTACGTTCCCATTACTCGTTGGAGAAAATAACAATCATACAACCACTGGCCCTCAATCAGTCTGTTACATTTGCTCGACGTGTTCGGTCGGTCGGTCCGGTTCGTTCGTTTAGTTTGTGCGTGCTTTAATTATTCTCAATTTTGTTGATTTTTTTGATGGAATGAATGGTGATGATGATGACTTCTCTTCCAAATTCCAAATAACAACGACAGCAGCCAATAGTTTATGTATTTTGGTTACTTTTTCGCCATTGTTATTGTTGTTGGCCTGCTTAAATGGTTAGCTAACCAAAAACTAATGAAATAATAAAAAAAGAAACAAAGCCAAAGGAAATACAAAAACAAAAAAGTGATGAAGAAAACCGAACAAAAGTAGGCGGTAGGTGAATGGGGAATTGACAATTTATTGGCCCACAAACCAACCTCTTGGCAATGAATGGATGAATGAAAAACACAGAAAATAAACATCATTAATAAGCGATTTAACGTGGAGTATTACATTGTGATCTGTCTGTCTGTCTGTCGGTCGGTCGGTCGTTTGGTTGGTACGACGCCACAAAAACCAGTGATTTGGGATAATAACAACGATTAGTAGTTGATTTTCGGTGATGAATACGATGATGGTAAAACAAACGGCTTAGGGTCCGACTATGCCATATAATTAGCATATCAATTTCGAATGTGTGCTATGTACATATGTATCAACATCGACAACAACAACAACAGCAGCTAGAACAAGAAGAGATGTTCGAAATCAAATAATATATCAATCATCAATCACTCTCACAAGTGTCAGTCAGTTTGAGATTGCTCTGTAATAACAAAGAAAAAAGAAAAAGAAACAAAAGCAAAGTAAAGAAAAGAAAAGTAGAGTGCAAAAAAGTCCAAAAAAGAGTGCAATAAATATCCTAACAACAACAACAGAAAAGTAGAACAAGTGATTGAGTACAAAGTGGCGTATGATGTACGAGTTATCAACAACAACATAATACGAATAAAAATAATAATACACATCTCGTTGTTGTTTGTGGTTGTCATTATACCACCCGCCGAGCACTTCGTTTTTTGCCCTCTTCATTCGTATCAGTCAGCTGTGCCGTCAGCTGAGGGATGGTGGGGTTTGGCATGCTTAAATAATAGCCCAGTACACTAACGACAACAACGACAACATTAACGCATAATAGAACGTGTTTATTTGTAGATTTATGTATGCCTTCTCGCTCTCGTTCTCTCTCTCTCGACTCAGTTGTTCTTCTTCGCCTGAGTGTGTGTGTGTGCGTGCGTTCCAATGTGTGTGAGCATATGCAAATATGTACCCAGAGTTTATTTTTCTTATTTTCTTCTGCCTCTCATTGAATCCAAATAACAATTAAATTAAAAATAAAATTAGAAAAAAAATACTGCAAAAAACCGCCAATAGAACCTCTAGAAAAGGCGCAAAAAATAGAAAACAACCGATCCCCAAAAATTAAACATAAAAAAGAAGCTGAAAAGAGGAAAACCAAACAGTAGATATCTACATTCGCACAAGTGTTTGTTTGGCCTTCAATAGTTATTAAAATTATTTTGCAAAAAAAAAAAAAAAAAAAAAAAAAAACACAACCAAAAGAGGAGAGAAAATTTTGATTTTTTCCCAAATCTATTTATATCACTTTTAAGCTATGACGTGGAAATTCTCAAAGTGAAAAGCGAACAGAATTTGTTAAGTTTTCTTTTTGTCACTGACAGCAGCAAATGGTAATAAAAACCAAAACATACCTACCAACTTTGGAATAACAACAGTCGCACCAGCCCCTACCAATGAATGTGTCTGTCGCCCCCCAACGTAAGTATATATATATATGTATGTATATTAACTTAATATATGATTTATGTATATGTGAGTGCGCCTGTGTGTGTGCGTGTGTGTCTGTGTGTTATAGAACCATTAGCACCAAAATACCAACGTTAGCTAGATTGCTCCAAGGTTTCTTGCCGCCGCGCATCATTTATACATTTTTTTTGGTTCGTTTGTTTGGACATTTATTTGTTTCATATCTCTGTTTCGTTGCTCTCTTTTTTCCACTGTTGTTTTTTTTTTTTTTTTGCCTTGAGGTGAGAGAAATATTTTACTCCCCCCGTTTGTTTCTCTTGGTAAATAATAGATGAATAGAGTTGCCAATTTATGAAGATTAACAACACCTGTCGATAGAGGGGATTGACATTTTTATTTTATTCTAATGGTTATAAAACTATAAAGGGTGGGAGGATAAGGGCTCACTTTAAAATAAGGGTATATTAATTTCGTCATTTCGTTTGTAACTCATCGAAATAACAATTTTAGACCCAACAAAGTGTATATATTCTTCATCAGCGTAAAATTCAAAGGCGATGTAGACCTGTGCGTCTGTTGTAATCACGCTAGACTCAAAATGAATTAAGATAAGAAGCTAAAATGTTACACAGATTAGTCTCTTGTGAGCAGGCAGGTCAAGTTCGAAGATGGGCTACATCGACACGACATCGAACGGCCCCCATATAACGGAATCCCCCGATATTGGATATTTTTCATGATTGTATCCACACTTTCCAATGGAATTGTCTGAAATTCTACACAAGGAGTTATCTCCTGAAATAGAATTGTCTATATAGTCCATGATATCGTATAGCCCCCATACAATCGTGTCCCTGATATTGAGTGTTTTTATTATGATTCTAGCCACATTCTTCAATGACATTGTCTGAAATTCTACACAAGGAGTTCTCTGTGAGTATTTTATATAGGTCCACGATATCTTATAGCCCCCATACAATTGTACCTCCCGATATTCGGTATTTTGATGATTTTAGCCACATTTTTCAATGGAATAGTCTGAAAATCCACACAAGGAGTTCTCTCAGAGTACTTTACCCCCCGAAGGAGAATTGTCTCTATAGGTCAACGTTTTAGTATAGCAACGCTACCCCGAGATATTCGGTATTTCATGGATTATCGCAACATTATTCACCGGAATTGTGTCAAATTTCGTATTTGAAGTTGGTAATAGGTTCTATAATATATGACGGAAAATTGTCTATGCCGGTCTACGTCTACGTATAGCTCCCATACAACGGTATCTGCGTTTATTCGGTATTTTGATGATATTAGAGACATTATTCACCGGAATTGTCTCGAAGTTCGGAATCGGTACTACAGCCTATGACATAAAATTACTTATCCAGCACAACGTCTTCGTAAAGACCCCATATAAAGGTATTTATTTGAGCGAAATTTTTCGACGGATTTTTTTTTTTGTAAATTTTCAAGATCCTTCCAAATAGTGGAGGGTATAAAAAGTTCGGCCCGGCCGAACTTAGCTGCTTTTTTACTTGTTTTAATATAGCTATCATATGAAAATGGCGCCCAATTCGGAGGTATTCTTAAATTTCAACTCATTTGACCAAAGTGTGCCTTATCGACATAGCGGAATTTCATTTCATCCCATCTGCTACCATTTGGACAAAACTATACACATTGTGACATTTCTATCAAAATTAGATTGAGTCCGAGTTAGACAACGTCGGAAAACATAAGAAAGAGTACGCAAGTGTTTATGTCACGAACGTGAAATAAAATGTTCACCGAACTCACTTCTCAATAAATCCATAGTTACGCGTGCTGGGTGGCATTTTGCACCGTCTTCTTGAATCGGCATGTCATGCAAGTCAAGTTCTTGCATTTTGGGTAATAAAAATACGAATATCATCTCGCGATAGCGCTTAGGCTATGTTACCATTAACAGCGTTTATGAAAATGTACGATATGGGCTGGTGGCATAAATATACCAGTCCATAGACCGCGCCAAACTGTGACTTTTCTGGATGCTTTGGTAGATAAATTGGCAATTGTGCTTATTTACTTACTGGTCGATCCAAAATTGAGTTGAAAATCGAAGAGGACGCTTGTAATTAGTTTACATCCAATGTTTGTAGGTACCAAATCTGCCCCTGGCATCCTCATCATCATTTCTACTGAGCACATCTTCCCATGCAAATGGCAACACTGTTTCGTTCAATATTTTCCGCGTTGATGTCGGTTTTAATAATATTCGCGTCGATACATTTATTATTTGTTTATACCTATATACAAAAAAAAAAAAAAAAAAAAAAAAAACAGAAAAAGAAAACAAGAACAACAAAAGAAAATAACCAGAAAATATACAATTTATACAATTTGTATGTGCATTCTGCCCAACAACAACAACAATACCAAAAGAAAAATGGCAGTGCGATGCCAAACCGCAACAAAAAAAGAGGGAGAAAGTAAACCGCCAAGTAAGGCATTACCCCCAAGAAAACAAAACCGTTCATTATCACCAGATAAAAGAAACGGTGGCTGAAGTTCGAAAACGAAAAACCGAAGACAAAACTACAACTGTTTTGGATTATCATTGGAATGAGCTAATAAAGAACATAAGAACAACAAAAACAAAAAAAAAAAAAAAAACAACGTAGCTAAATAACAAAAAGTGTAAAGTTATTTTTACATTTTATGAATGTTCGAACAAACGAAGGTAGGGGCGAGCGGGCGGGCGGCCGTAGTGGCCAGCGGACGACTGCGCTACAACAAATCAAGCGAGCAAACCGAAAAATAAACTGCTGACGTAGTGGTTGAGACGACGACCGCATTATTTTGTGGCTTTGCATTACTGCTGCCGCTGAGACTGATGATGATGTCGGTGTGGTATAGGTTCGTTTTGTTTTGAACTGACCACCAAACAACCCAACCGAACCGAACCGACAGACAGACAGATAGCTAGACAAAACAAATACAACCAAACACAATTGACACAATCGAAATGAAACAATATCAAAATAAAATAACAAGAAGTAAATTTCGGCAAAACAAAATAACAAAATTTATTTTATTTTATTATTTTTGTGCACCAGCCCCCCACCACCTTCATACCCCCCCACATTCAATTTATTTTGATACACTTGTTTTTGATGAGTTGTCTCGCAGAGAGACTCCGAACAAAACAAGCCCCAGCTGTGTATGGCCAAGTGGGTTGCTTGGTGGCTGACAGGCTCTTCAGTTTCTTCGGCTGCCCCCACATCTTTCATTCAAAAGAAAGTGTAGCAAAGTTCGTACACACACACACACACCTACCTACCTGCCTGCCTACCAACATACATACACACATACATGTAGCTATGTATATTTTGTTTTGTTTTCATACGTTTCTTCTGCTTAATTTAAATGATTCCAAACGACTTGAGTCTTATCAATGTTGTATAATTTAACAAAATAACTCTCTTTCTCTCTCACTCTCCCTCGCCACAAACTGAGAGTCAAACAAAAAAAAGAACACGAAAATCCCATAAAATAGTGGAGCCGAGTGCCGACAAGGGACATCAACAGAATAGTTAAATCACAAAACGTTGGATATTCTTGAGAGTCTCCAAAAAAGAAAGAATGAAATATAAAAACAAAAACAAGAAGAGAGTGAAATTTCAGTTTGTAGACCTCTCCTCATTATTATTTTTTTTTGATAATAAAATAAATTAAGAAAATACCCCCGAAACTAATTTCTAACGGTGGCTGGTTATTTCAGTGCAACGTCAATGTTTCCATAAAAATAAATAAATAAATAAAAATGAAACAACAACACCGACAACTGGAATTGGGTAGATTGAAATCTATGTGGATATATGTATTTTTTGAGAGTACGTACCTACCTAGCTACATTTATTTTAGGTCGAGCAAAAAAAAATAAAACGAAACTGTGGGCAGTCCATTCGAATTTTGGGGAGTAAAAAACAAACGAAAAGAAGAGCATGACTGACTAACTGACGAGTGGAATTGGAAATATTCAAAAAAAAAAAAAATAATAATAATAATATTTTGAATTAATTTGGATTAGTAGGAATTTTGATGGGATGGATAAACAAGTGGATACACAGTTTGTCAACTATATATTTGTAAAACGAAGAAAATTAGAAGACATTCGTTAATATTAGGAAGTGTTAATAGTATAACCTCCACCATAATTTTATTTTTACATTATATTTTAAAATTTATTGAATGAAAGCAAAAAAAGTCGGAAATAGCATCAAACTTTGGAATTTAGACTCTTAGATTTGTTCGAATTGGTCACCTTTGGCACGAGTTATGGCCTTCAAACGGTCAATGAAACCGTCACACGCTGCGCGAATGTTGCTCTGCGGTATTTTGGCCCATTCCCGGCGAAGGGCTTGCTTGGGGTGATCGACACTTTGGTATTTTTTAGTGTCAACCTTGCTTTCCAAAATACTCCAGACACAATGCTCCAACGGATTGGTATCCGGAGATTTTGGTGGCCATTGTGCGTGGAACCTCATTTTGAAAACTTTCTTGAGTGGCGCGTGCGGTGGTACTGAGTCCTGTTGAAATGTCCAAGGTCTACTGCCAAAATGTTGGCGTGTCCAAGGTGTCCAATACACCCTCCAGAATATTTTCGCGATAATATTCGGCATTTATTCTAATGCCACGATCGATTGATATGGGGGGATCACCATGGCCGGCGCCTGAGTTCTGGTGGCCAACCGAAGGTGCACATTTTCAGCTGACCTCTTTGGCAAGTAAACACGATCATTTTGTTTGTTTACAAACTGCTTGACAACGAATGTTTTCTCATCGGAAAACTAAATTCGGCAGTTCACCACTTTCGGCCAAGCGAAGCAACTATTTAGCTCTTTTGTGTCTATTTTCTTCTTTCTATTGCGGTGTAATTTCTTGCACTTTTTGGAATTTAATGGTTAATTTTTCAATATTTGCCGATTGGAATATTGCGATATGTTCAGCGCACGAGCCATTTTTCGGCTCCG